GTTCTTAGGGTATTTGTTTCTCAAGGTTAGGGTTAAGTACTCTGCTCCCTTCAAAATGAAATGGTATCAAGTTATTAGCGTCTTTTTCGAGGAAGAGTATTGTTTTAGAATCACCCTAAGCCCCTGACCTCTTTCTTCCTCTTTATGTATCCCTATGTAGCAGCAAAAGAGATACAAAGAGAGCCACAGCATGCGAAAGCCCAAACTTCTTGCTCTGAGGTTGTGCGGAAAGCACCTTTGGAAGGCGGGTCGGCCTCAGGGTTCAGGGTAGTAGTAGAAACCTCATAAGTCGGAATATTATCACCTCATAACAGGTACATACATCATTGTAGTATAATACACCTTCAGACTCAAAACCAGGGTGTAATTAGACAGGCCCTGAGGTTAAAGTCATGATCTCCAACCTGCTGGCCAGAAATCCGTTGGCCCCTGTCTTCCTGAGATTTTCAGGTTTCTCAGGCCACACGGTTTCTGTGGGATGGTATCGGGATGCCCGACGTGCAAGCGCGGGGTGCCGTCCTTGTTCGGGGATGAGTTTTTGGTGTCCATAGGGGCATCCTAACCTTGAAAAATTGTCTTGGGAATTCTGCACCTGGGCCAGAAATCATTCGGTTTCAGCTCTGCCCTCCAGACTCCGAAGCACTTTCTTTGGAATTGCCTTTGCTGATGACAGGCTTTCGCACGTGGAAGCCGCGCACGCCTGCCTGGCAAGTAGTTGAGGGGTGCTCAAATGTATTGTGGGGCCTTGTAATTTCAGATACAGGTCTATCTGTTGTTGCGAGCTCGTGGGGCCTTGCCTTTGACAACCTTGCAACCAGAGGCAGATCATTCTCAAGCTTGCACAGACTTTGCGGGCATCTTCTGACTTAGGAGTTTTTTCCTCTTTCCTATCCTTGCTGCTTTTTCCTCCCTTCTCTCTATCTCTCTCTCTCTCTCTTTCTCTCTATCTCTATCTCTATCCCTAAGGATCCACGTATACAAATAATACCTACATTGGGCCCTAAAGTCTGTAAATATTACCTACATTGGGCTATTTGGATCCCTAGGGTATGTCTATCTCTATCTCTCTCGCCCTGAGCAAGGCCAGAGTCAGACTCTTGCAGCTGTGCTTTGCTGCGCATGGGAGCATCAAACATGTGCTCCAGAAAGCCTTGAAGGGACCCCAGAATCCGCTTGTCAGTCATGTGGGCTTAGGGCCCGGAGTGTTCTCCATTTTTGACATTTTTGAGGGTCCCTCATATTCCTCTTAAGCCCTAAATAGTAGTTTCCATTTTATTTTCCATTATCCCAATATAACCCCTATGTTATATCTACTTACTTGATCTTTACCATGATGGTTGGCTGCCAGGCGGCAGCACACGGCCCGGTTTGCCACGGCCCGAGCTGCCTGTTTGGAGTTGAAGGTTCCCAGACCCGCTAAAGGATCCAAAAAGTGGAGTCCCCTAATAATCCACTAGTTCCCCCATGTAGTAATGGGTTCATATTGGGGGTTTCCGTTTTTTGGAGCCTTTATGGGGTCTGGCTTTGCATGGTGCTTTGCGTTAGGGGTTTCGCAGTGCTTACGCCTTGGAGCCATCCTCCCGAGTCTACGGGCCAATATACTTAGAGATTGAATTGGGTGGTTCAACTAAACAGTTTCCAGATACAGAGAACAAACGGGAATGATATTCGTCCATATTCCTCCTATGATAGATGGTTGTAATTACTTGACCGTTCCTGAGCGCATTTACCGCACACATTTTAATGGAGTCTGGCTGACTCCACGCCCTCATCTGTAAGCCCAGAATCAAAATATCCCAGCCTTAAAGCCTAAACCCTCAATCCCCTTCCGGGGTTTCCCAGGTGGCTTTCTACATCCTAAATCCCACGCCATGAACCAGACACTCAATCCCCTAGACCCTGAGCCCCAAACCCTACACCCGGTCCGACCAGGACAAGCCTCCGCCACGGGGCCAGCTCCCTCCGACCTCCCGACGCTGACGCTGACGCGTTTGGGGTTTAGGGTTATAATAGGGTATATAGTAAACTATTAGGGTTATACAGGGATAGTTGAAAAGAAAATGAAAACTACTACTATCGGGTTTAAGGTTGGGGATGTGCCAAAATTGTGGGTCTCATGTTGCTAGGGGTACGTGTACCGTATAGATAGGTATGTGTATGTATATACATACATGCACCTATGCATACATATAGATGTATAACAGAGACCTCTGTCTCTAGGGTGCGCGATTGAGGTTTCCACAGCCTTGGGTGCTCCGCAAGTCCTGAGACCTGCTTCTGGCACAGTTCCGAACTTGCGCTCACTTGGGCCGGCAAAAGGTTGCGTGGAACTTTGTTCGCGTACTACATATCAGCTACTATCACTTTTAGCCTTGTGACGGTGGACATTGGACGCCCTCTGTTCATTTACTATAGTCCGTAGTATAGTCTCCAACAAGGAACCCATTTCCATGAATTTTCTGGGGAAATATCAAATCAACTGTAGCTCAAATAGCTTCTGAAGGGAAGCTTGGGGCACAGTAAGCGGATTATTCGCATTCCCTATATAACCCCATATAACCCTATATACCCATATATAACCCGATATACCCCCATATCACCCTACATAACCCTATTTTGTTTTCGGAAAGTGTGGACAACTTAGATTTTCTAAGGAAATGAGTGTTGCTTCCAGGCACCGCTTCGGGAGTTTCTCAAGGCAACTGCAAATTCATCCAGAAGAAGAGCCTTGCACTTCCCGCCTAAACACTATTACCATTATTATCGCACTTACTATTGCTATTATTCTTACTACGACTATTACGACTACTACTGCTGCTACTACTACTACTACGACGACGACGACGACGACGACGACGACTACGACCTCCATTGATGTGTACGAGTGTCCTCTCACACGATTTGTAAAGCTGCTTTCCGACTGATGAGCTGGAAGGCCACAGCTACTGTTTTCAAATGAATAATCAGCCCACTACACGCAGTAATACGCACAATAGGAATACCTGCTACTGGCCAAAGAGAGGAAGTTATGAACCAACGAGGGACCCTTTAGACATGTAACTTGACTACCTGCATGTGCTTCCAGACATCTGGAAGTGTCATCAGATCCTTCCTCTGCCCTACAAGATAGCCGAATTGACTGGCGCCCGTATTCAATGCTTTGGAGCACAGGCTTGCAGTGCGGGATTCAATCTGGTTTCCACATTCCTTCTTCCCCCCATATAAACTAGTAAGTTTTGAGTTGGCATGCTCTCCAAGCCTGGGTTAGATCATTCATCTCGCTCCAGAATTACAATTGATGTGCCCCTCGCAGGACACTCAAAAAGCCAGAGTTTTTATCATGGCCTGGTACTCAGCTTGCTGAGGCCTGCTTCCCACTTGAGAGTGTGAGGACATCTCCTGACGGGCAGTCGAACTACAGCAAGTTCATTCCTTACAAGAACGCACCCCAGAGTAGGTCTTCGCCAGGTAGGTAGAGGTATGCTGCCAGATTCAACCTACGTTGCTTCAGCATCAGAGTGTCTGTTGCACCTTCAGCAGTAACAATCTAGCTTTCTGAAGTTCCGCGATTTGGTGGGACCTGGGGGCTGAAGAAAGAGATGTTTCGGCAGTGGAATTCTTCAAAAGATTGTCATCCCCCTCTTACCCCCTAAACTATCGCCCTTATGGTAAAGATAAAAAGTAATGAGGCATACTTTGGAGAACGTCCCAGGTATGATGAAACCCTAAGAAGCCTAGACGACCCGAGGCCAAAGGTGCCGTGGTTGATGGCGAGGACCCGGCTTGCAGAACCAGGGTTAAGGCGGTAGAGGGTTTAGGGGTTGAGGGTTTAGGGGTGTAGAGTTTAGGGAGTTAGTAGGGTTTAGAGTTTAGGGGGTAGAGGGTTTAGAGGGTTTAGAGGGTTTAGAGGGTTTAGGGGGTTTAGGAGATTTAGGGGTTTAGGGTTTAGGGGCTTAGTAGAGTTTAGAGTTTAGGGGTCAGAGGGTTTAGGCAAAGCATTTAGCAACCCTGCCAGCAGGGCATTCATAGTCTGTTAAACCCTAAACCCTAAACCCTAAACCCTGGTATTGGCTTTGAGAGCTGGAATTCATATGAGCTGTAGCCTAAACTCCTTAAAGGGGGGTTATCAGGGGGATTATATAGGGGACTATTATAGGCTGATTGAGGGGGATACTAGGAGTTTAGACTATAGCTCATATGTCCTCAGTCTATAGGGTCTAGAATGAGAACTGCAAGCTGAAAGTGGAGTTAAGTCCCGCGTACATCTTGCGGTGCGGGGCTACGGTGGGTGTCTCCAGTGCGCCCGAGGGTGTCTAGAGCTCATGAATCTTTCGACAGGAGGGTTGATGGACAGAATCCTGCAAGACCCGGGTTTAGGGTTTAGGGCCCATTCAGGCAGCTCTGCTTGAGTAAGTGCTTGAAACTTTGGCAAATGGACGTCCTTTGATCACCTGCCCCTGGAATCAATCCAGGACCATAAGTTCTAGGCTGAGGTACATCTGGTCATTCATGATTGTGCCCATCAGCAATACATATGGAGTGTGACCTGTAACGCTACTTGCAGTGAAGGATGCGCTATAACGTTGCAGCTTTCCACGCATGAGACAAAAAGTTTTGCCCCACTCTTGCGCCTCATGGGTATTGCAATTGGATTCGGAACCGGGGTCGATTCCACAGTCCTCTTCGAGCTGCATGGGATGGTGTCATAGGTCCAGCTGGATACTTTCTACCGCTAGGAGGGGGGCTTGACCCAGCTCATTGAAGTTATGCGGGGAACACCAGGATATCTGCTGTGTCGTGTATAGATCTAGCCTTGACAGCTCTATAAGACTAAATCGTAGTCTAAGTCTGTAAAAGTTCCCCATCTAATGTCTATCAGGTATCCAAGATCACCAAGATCCCTGGTCAACTTCCTCTTTTCCTGGAGTCCCTCGGGTTCTTAGAGTATCCCTTTCTTGAGAACAGCCCTAAACCCTAAACCCTAAACAGTTTTGGACCAGGACCCCGACCTTGACAAAGTCAAGGAGGGTTCACTCGTCGGAGCCCCTCTTTTCGGCCATGGGAGTTTCCAGAAGGGTTTAGGGTTTAGGGGATCCTGGATCCTTTAAAGGGGGCTATAGGGGATATATAGGGTTATATGGGGATATATAGTATAGGGTTCAGTGTTTCCATAGATTAGGGGTCCCTTTTGGGGGTCCCCATGCTAAGGGTTAAAGTTTTTGCGAGTCTACATTGAGGCCTCCCATTTTTCGTGGAAACTCCCACATAGGAAATGCAGATGCATTTTTTTGTAGTTAGAGAAGTAGGTGCAATGTGGCTGCTCTACACCGGGTTATTTTTTTGGGGAGGGAAATTTGCAGGTGTTCCTAGAGACTTTCGAGATTTTGGAGGTCCTTTGCCCCTGGTCCCGCCTTATAAAATCACAGTTTTTGGACTTGCCTCTTGAAGCCTTTCACCTTTGACAGTGACAGCTGCCACATTGTCATCGGAGGGCACACAGTATCTCTTTTTCAGGTCGTTGGACAGTCATTGTGGGTGGCAACCACCTCGAAACCAGGTGATGCCAAGCATGAGCCGTTGTTGCTTATAATTACAGGGCCAAGAGCATGGCCAGCCGTACTAGAAGGGCACTCCAAAAGGGTACCTGTGATCTGGAGATGAAACTATATGATCACAAGACACGCGTGGTCCTAGAACCCCTCTCCCTGAGCACAAGTCCCGTAAAAATCCGGATTCCCAAATGCCTCATCCCTCATTCCCAAGCCAAAATGCCCAAACCCCCTTAATTCCTGGAGCCCCTAAATCCTTAAAGCCTAAAACCCTACGCCCCTACATTCCCAAATCCCTAATCCATGCCTCCCTGAACCGTAAATTCTCTAAATCCCAGAAATTCCCTAAATCCCTAAACCCTGCAACCCTTCTCCTTAAATCCCAGGTGCGTGTTGAGAAAGTGCTGGAGGTTCCGCCAGACCAGCTCAATGCACTGCTTGGAAACCAACAGGCGAGGGTCTCAGGGTCTTAGGGGCTTAAGGTCTTCGGGGCTTGGGGTCTTTGGGGTTTAGGTTGCTTGTAAGGGTTTAGGATGTAAGGCTAGAGGTCTTGGGGTTTCAGGTTTTTGGGGCTGAGGGGTTCAGGGCCTATACGGCTTATAGGGTCTTTAGGGTTTTTTTGGCCTGATAGTCTACAGTTGACGCCTTGGTGCAAGTTCGGGCCCCTAAAAAATCATAAGGACTTAAGGATCCCCATTCAGCCATCATGGTTCCTGCTTCGGAAGGTTTCACAAGAAGGTAGAGAGCTTGCCATGTGCAGCCACCCAGACAATTAGCTTTTGAGTATGTTTTCTTTGAGCATTCTGAACTCCAGGAAGATTTTTATGATTCAGAAGCTACCTAGCGAAGTCCTTGACCTGACCGCGTCAACCCGAGACCCTGAACCGGTAGAAGGTTAGGGTTTCATTGTTTAGGGGTTTGGGTTACCAAATTACCTAGCTTACCTTATTCTAGTCAAGAGGGACGTGCCAAGCCCCAAAACCCTAAACCTAGACCATAAGCCCACCCCAGTTTAAAACCTCCCCTGAACCTTGCCCTAAACCCTCAAACCCCTTACTTCCTGGTTCTTGGTAGGGAAGATAAGGTGCATGATCCCTATATACCCCCTAAATATATTCCCTTATTCCCTGCCAACCCCCAGTAAGCTAAGGGTTCCTGAAGCGCGCTGTTGCAAGGTGTCATTGTTCCTGGCGTCGCCTTCAGCTTCGCAGAGAGAGGACGAGGGCGAGGCCGGTATTTGAGGGCTTCGGGTTTTGGGTCCTAGCTTTTATAGGTTTTATGAATGCTTAAGGCGTGGGGATGTGTAGGGTGCAGGGCTGAAGGCTTAAGGTTTAGAGGTTCGGGGTTCAGGTAGATAATTTTAAGGTGCAGTGTTAGTGTTAATTCTTAACGTGGGGGGTATAGGCCTGTAGGTGTGTAGGCTTCAAGGCTTAAGGATTGGAGTTTGGGATTCCAAGTTTCAGGTTCAGATTTTTTTTATGTAGAGATGCCATCACGGTTTCAGGTCTAGAAAAAATGGTTTGGGGTGTAGGGGCTCCGGGTTAGGCCGTAGTGGCTAATTTTCTGGATTTCAGGTTCAGGGACTGGGAATGGGGGAGGGACATCTATGGATTTGGGCATAAGAGAGGCAATTCACGGAGTATCACATGCCTTCAGTGGAGTGTAAAGTTAGGCACGCCTCAAAGTCTTGGTCATCAAAGCAAAACCCTGCTAAGCTGGATTTCTTAGGCTTCGTGTGTGTGCAGAGGTCCGTCGAATTCCCATTTTTGATGGTTCATGGAAGCTGCACGGCACCAGGAAGGGAGCAGGGGCCAACAACCTAGGTTAGCTTGTAAGGCTATAGATAAAGAATGATTTGCTGAAACCTAGACAAGTGTCGCAGCAGGCCTTACCCCGCACAAAAGCCACACTACGAGTGGGACCCCCCATCTTCAAAATGACTTTGGAGTGGATCCTACTGTCTTTAGTATGAGAAGTTCACAAGTTTAAGGTTCACAACACACTTACCGCACAACCACTGAGCTTTGGCTTCAACTTTGGTGTCCTCCTTCATGCGGCCAAAAACTAGGTCCATGAGATTCCCGGAATGCTGTGGCCTTTTTTGATTTCTGTGCGCAGCCGGCAGACTTAGTTCCTACATATCCTGATCCCGGTCCCTAAGGGTGTACACCCTAAACCCTAAACCCTAAACCCTATATAACCCAGTATAGGAGTTTCCATTTGATTTTCCATTATCCCTATATAACCCCAATATTACCCACATATAATCCCAGTTTCCATTTCATTTTTCATGTTCTTTTCCATTTGATTCTCCATTATAGGGCCCTAAACCCTAAACCCTAAACCGACCGCCAAAACTGAACTGCTCCGTCGCTGAGACTGAAGCCGAGTTCTCACCTACTTCGCCGCCACTGGCGGAGGAAGAAGAGGTTGCCATGCAAGGTTTAAGGTTTAGGGTTTAGGGTTTAGGGTTTAAGGTTTAGGGTTTAGGGTTTAGGGTTTAAGGTTTAGGGTTTAAGGTTTAGGGTTTAGGGTTGAGGGTTATGCAGTTGAGAGGGCTTAGTTTGGAGGACCTCCCACCCTGTAATAGTGGTATAGTAAGAATATAAGAGGACCCTAATATAATCCCTCTTGTCCCTTATGATCACTATTACTGGTTGGGGGGTCCAGCTAAGGGCTTAGGATGAAGGGCTGTAGTCCTCCTTAAGAAGATAGAATATGGCTTTGGCTATGTTAGCATAAGATCCCCGTAAATCCCATATTCTATCTACTTAAAGGGGACTACATCGGAGTAGGTTTTCAATTTGGGAGTTTCGGCTTCCGAGGTCAGAAGGGTGGTTTGAGTTATCCGATGGATTACTGGATGTTTAACAAGTGTAAGGAGGACTAAGCCCTAAACCCTAAACCCTGAACCCTAAACCCTAAACCCTAAACCGGTGATAATGGGTGTAGGAAGATGAGCCCTACATGGCTTTGCAAGGGCTTTTCAAGGAAAGGCTCAATGGAGGGATCAGCCACGACTCTTAGGTATGATTATTTAGGTGGACCCCCGCACCCAGTAATGAGGACTATAAGAAGTACTGGAGATCATATTAGGGTCCTCTTACATGGGCCCCTAATTTGGGCCCCTAGTTTTGTCAAAGATCCAGATGTTGCCAGGCTGCTTCTGAGCAAGCCGTTGCAGAGGAAGATGGCAGTGAAGTGCTGGCAGCGGCTGCCAAGGCTCGGCTTATGGGGGTTGGGAGCTTAGGATCAGGTATTTTCTAGCATTTTGTATTCAAGTGTTGTATGAGTACTTCGTCTGTAGCATGTTGTATTCGGTGCTTAGGCAGTATAGCTGTTGACTTGCCACATGGAGGGCATTGAACCTGAACACATTTTTCTGGACTTCCCCGTTGAAGGGTGCAGGGTGCTCGGTGCTCGATTTGGTTTGGAGATCTCGTTTGGTCTATGTAGGAGGGATAGGCTTGTGCCTGAGGGTCATTGCAATACAGCATTCAACCACTCTCTGGAGTAGACTGCCCGTAGCTATACTCAGGAGCCTTGAGGAAAGTCTTTAAACTTCACGCCAAACAGCTGTTTTCTACCCAAGCCACTTCTTCTATCTGTTTAAGGTCAATGGGATTTTGCCAAACAGCTGCAGCGCCTTGCCTCTGCTTTTGACATGCTTCTCATTTTGTGTCAAGGTACCGGATGCTGCAGCACCAGATGAGGTGCCACAGGAGCCTCCAGCGCTGAAGCACGCAGAACTCTGCGCCGTTCGGCCTTGTACTCTTCGATGTGTGACTCTTGCCAGTCTCCTAGTTAATTCCATAAACACAAATGGCTTTTCTCTCTTGCCCCCCAGATGCACTGCCTTGGAAGGAGGTGGCGCTCACATTGCCGACACTCGCGGAGTCCACGGAGCCGGTCCCTCCGAAAAGCGAGGGCCCGGCAAAGAGCGAGGCTACTTCGGAGGCGAACCCACGAGATGATGGTGGATGTTTTTGAGAGCTACTATAATGGGTTATATAGGGATTATAGGGTATATATTGGGGTTATATTGGTGATGGCATGCCTCGGTTTTGTTGAAGGCAAGGTTTGTTGTGGATGAGAGGGGAAAAACGACCACGATAGCTAGAATTGCAGTACAAGCAGAGTGAACGAGCCGTGCCTCTTCCGAGTAGGGGGGTTTGTATTGAACAGTTGTTATTGAGCAGAGCAAAAAAGGATACCCTTTGACACTGTAGTCTGACGGCTAGGCTTGCTGCCATGATGATCATAGTTGTCGCTTTTTTGCTAGTCTCAGGAATGTCACAATTGAAGTCAGAGCTATCAATACGGCATGTGAGTAGTATCTCATTTGCGGATACTATGGTACCCAATATAGAGTAAGCTTGTATCATCCTTTTGGGCTATAGTATTTTATAAGGAATATGATCTTACTAGGTTGAACCTCCAAAAACACTACTCATGTGTTTGTAGTAAGCAATCGTGCTGACTACAACATGATCGCTTTCAGGGCTTTTGAGGCTTACCCAAGGACAAGCCTAGGGCAACCTTCGAGTAAGCCTGAACAAAGTCCGGAGCGCCATACACCGTTCACAGCTCACAACCCACTATGCGCTGCTATATGGAGATTTTCTCACATATTAGTATAATGCGGATCCTGTCTGCCACCCCCCCCGCACAGCCTTCCCCCATTCAGGGAACAGGAATCTAGACCCACCCACATGTTTCGCTGCTTCAATCTTCAAACGGCCCTCAACATCACACACGTCCGGGCGCCCCTAAAACTGAAACCCTAAACCCTAAAGCCAACACCTTGACAGGCCAAGAAGTCGGAGAAGCCTTACGAGCATTGCTCCGGCATCGTTACGCCAAGTAGCCGCGCCGAGGCCAGACATGGCATCCTTATGCTTCGAAGGGAATGAAGGAATGGATCCCCATCCCCTAATATGACCCGAAAGGTTCCGCGCAGGCATATGACATACACCTCATATATGTATATACACACATGAAATATATGTGTATATATATATATATTGTATACATGTGTGCGTAGGGCATCTAGGACGCGGAGGGTTTCCCGTATGCCTAATTGCTTTGGGGCGCAAGTATACACTATATAGCTACATGGACCCTTTGGGTAGCCCGTTGCAGTAGTCCTTATAAGCCATTCCCATCCCCCACAAAGCAGCAGGGAGAGCGAGATGGCTGGACCTGCGTTTTCAACATTTTTGCTGCAGATCGCACTTTGGACTATTACCCTCACGGGTGCAAACAGGGAATGACGCTGATCCAGCTAAAGAATTTATTGGTCTTGTCTGCGAAGCTATCCTGAAGCTAGGATTGGAACAAGTAGTTGTAGGGGTCCTGCCAGTTTCTTCTAAAGTCTAACCGTGACGGCCACTGAACGGCCACTGAACGGCCACTGAATGTAGGCCAGGCTTGTCAATTTTGACCAATCGCCTGAACAATGGCCTGCCTTTGAGAATGCATTGTCCCCTAATAAGGGGACTGGAATAATGCGACAGTAGTACCCTGCCCATCATACATGAAAATAAGTTGAACTGGGAAACCAAGGACTCAGATGTCAACACATGCTGAATACAGGGCCCTGCTGATGAGTGTCAAGCGGAGAGTCCAAGGAAGAACTGGGAAACCTCAGGATCGAAATGTTAAAGCATGCTGAGGACAAGGCCCTGCTGGAGATTCCAAATAAAAAAGTGACACCGTTTTTTGTGCTTCCTGTTATTTGTGGTGATTCTTGTATTTTTGGGCTTTCAGGGTCCCCTAATTTGGAACTCCCCCAACCTCTATGTGGGGATTTCCCTAACATCATACTATTGGTCCCTATAGAGGGTTCCTACCCTTCTGGGAACAATAATTTCCCTGTGGTTCCAAGTACTTAAACTAAATAGTATGTAATTAGGGCCCAGAGTATCTATATAGGAACCCATTTGGGCCCAAAGTACCTATATTATTCGAGTACTTATTGGACCCTTAGGGTTCTTTCACTCCCTATAACCCTATACAACCCTAGACACCCCTACAAACGCCTAAATAACTTTATTCAGCCCTGTATACCCCTCTATAATTATAAGCCCCACATACCCGTACAATTTAGGCAAATTTCTATGCGCCGCGCTGTGGGGCTCGCTTCCTTGCTCGGTCAGGCCGACTTGACGCCAGCGAGGAGGATGAAACCAAAATCCCAGGCGCAAAGGCTTAGTGCTGTTTAGTAGGGAATGAAAGGATTGTTCAACATGGGCTTTATAAGAATTACTATAGGAATTCCATGCCTCAATTTCGATGAACTGGCAAGAGCATGCCAGGTTCAGTACCACACACTTCGCCATGACGGCACTGACGGGCAACGCCAAGAGTTTGAACCTCTCGTCCAGACCAGCGAGGACCGTGGTGCATGGAAGTGCGCAGGGACGCATGTTTTCTCAAGTGATGCCCGTGCTCCTGTGATGTCGGCATTTGTGAATATTCCAACATGATATCTCCTTTCCGTGGTATTCTTACAGTCCTACTACAGTATGTAAGTTGGGACAATGTTACAAGCTCTAGCTTTCAGTCCACTTCTTCATGAGCTGCGTCGTCACAGTGCTGGGGTTCTGGTGCTCCACTGTCAGGACACAGTTCGCCACTTGGCTGCAGAAATACAAGTATGGATATGAACGTCCTGACATTTTGACTCAAAAATCAAGCTTTCGTGGCATTGTTGTTTCGGGGTCGAGGTCTCGCGTGGAGCGTCCTGACATTTTGACACGAAAACGCAGGACATTTTTACACGCCCAGCCATGCTGTCGCTAAGTTTTGAAGTTTGTTATAGTAAGTTTTGAAGTTTGCTTGTTGTTCGTGGTGGTGAGGAACGGCACTGCCGACGGCGCCGATGGGGGGTTGGCGGTCTCGGTGTGATTGTGGTACGATTTAAGGGGGATTCCCAAAATTAGGGTACTTTGGGGGTCCCCATGACAAGGATTATTGGAGTATTATGGAAACTGCCATACTTAGCAAGATCCACAATGCTGTTTTTACCTGCTCATGGGCCTTGGCCCCTGGGCCGCGTGATACACAATAAAGCAAAGTGCCGTACAGGACTACAGGATTTGTGGCACATACTGTTGCAGAGCATCCTGTTGAGATACACTATGACTAACTACCCAGAGTAGCATTACTTCATTCAATGCTGCTATATAGTGTTTTTGTCAGTAGCAGTGCTGCATAGGGGATACTACTCGTGCTGCTATTGCTTTTACTTCCAAGTAGGTGTCGCCACTTTGGTCGTGCTGGAGGGAAGAGTGCTTCATTGGCAGCAGCAGCAGCAGCAGCAGTAGTAGGAGCAGAAGAAGTAGGAGAAGAGATAAAAGTAAAAGTAATAGCAGGGGGAAGACTATACTTGATCATGCGAGCGCGTCCTGAGGAAAGTTGGGCATCACAACCTTGTGCTCGCCTTAGCACCATGAGTCTGATATCAGGTTGCATACGACGAAGGCCTAGTCAAAAGATGCACATGCACGCGTAGATATGTGTGTGTTATGTATATATATATATAGATATATACTGTTTACTTTTCATCTATGGGGAGAGCGGAGACTTGTGCGGTGTCTGTTCATTCATGGCACGTTATCATCATCGCAGCCCCAAACCTCGAACCCTGGAACCTGAACCCTACCCTCAAAGAGAAACCCTAAACTCCTAGTCACTGAACCCAGACCTTAGGCGGGTTGCCGTTGAGAGCTTGGGTGAGACGATGCCGTTCAGCTACGGAGCCTACATCCTCATACGGCTGCTTGGGGGCCTTTTGAGGATGTTTTCTTCAGCACTCTCTGGATCACGACCAGGATGCGTGTGTCCTCCTTGTGGGGGGTCTTAGATAAATACGACTAAGATCTCAAAGTTGAAATAGTGGCCTCCCTCGTTCTCTGGTGGATAAAGAGAGGCTTGTAGGGGATTCTAGGTATCCCTCAGGTGGCTTTTATCTCTTTTGTAGATGTTCCTTCATGAAACATAGCCCCAAACCCTGCCTCAGGCCAACTTTCGTCACGCCCAGCGCGGACATCGAGAACCCGACTGAAGATGACGGCTTCCCCGAGATGAGCGCAGGCAGGCTGGCCAAAACTGGGGACTTCAGGGGTCTCTGTGCCTGATGCCGAGTAGGGAATGGGGAAAGGGATTCAAGAGATTATTTCAGGGGATGATATTATAGTCCCCCTTAAGTGGACAGAATATGGCTTTGGGTATATTGTAATACGATCCCCATACATCGCCGGGCGGATAGTTTTGTCTCATGTACATGTTTCTAGATTTGCGGAGGACGTAGAGTACTCAGAGGCTCATTTCCACTGG